AAGCTAAAAGCTTATGGTGTAGGAGCAGCAAGGGACAGGTTGAGGGTGGAGTTCATCGCTAGCTGGAGGCTGAAATGGACCATTAGTTAATCCCTGTTTGACCCGCTGTCAGACTGGAGGAATGGATTTCTTTCTACTGGTTCCTTTGTCTATTACCTGCAGATTGTTGAATTTAACCAAGTCAGTGATACCTTAGTCACAGAAAGGAATCACTGAAATATTGAAAACCAATTTACTCTAAACTTTAAGCTGCACTAACACAGTACATATCCAAGGAAGACCTTCCCAAAAAGATAAGAAAATAAAAACATTTAAAAATAGAATTGACTGCAAATATGTGTAAGCCCGGTCAGCCGTGATGACTTAAATAAATAATGGGTCCAAATGTAATGTATTCAGAGTCATATTTCCTCGACACCTTTACTGGCACAGGGTTGCCTCCCACTGTCCACATCTCTATTACATTTCAAAACAATCCATTTAGTGTTACTACATCAGAAGGAACGTCATCTGTGATCATTTACTTTGATGATTTATTGTCATTTTAGTGGAATTAAAATTATATATATAGTTATTGAAATACTCAATAACGTTGCCTAAAATGATAATAACTAGCAGATACTAAAAACATTTTCCAATAAAATCTCATTCATATCTTTGTTTTTACTTCACACTTGATCACTCCGCTTAATACGATTAACAAATGTGTATACAGTATATTGAAATATTACATAATTCTTTCTCCATTATTTCAGCTGTTAAGTTCATTTTGCACTACAGGGTTCATAATTGAATAAGGGGAAAAAAGGTTTCTTTTGTCAAGTGTTTAGTTCACACATGAATAAGTATAATAGGTTTTACCATTTTAAATAGATGTTTTATTTACGTATTACCTGCTATACCAAGCTATATGTGAACTATATTGCTATAGAGATATGAAATGGCCTATAATTGGAAAAAAATATGTTAGCCTTGATGCAAGCCCCATTAGTAGTCATGATGATATTCAAATGTAATAGTACATTTAAATAAATAATAATAATAATACGTTCTTCATATTAGTGAATTGTGAACTAACTATGTAAATGACCAAAGAGTTTAATTCAATCTGACCATTTGGCATATCCCACAGGTTGAAAAAAGCTGCAAAAAACGTAGTAAATGTTGTATCTGCGTGGGCTTTAGGACCTCTAGCTCTGTGCAATGTCAATATTTATGTTCTATGTACTTTAAGCTTTGTTAGGTAGGAATTGCCTGCATGTGCGTAAGTTTATTCCATATGTGTTTCTTGGTGCAGAAAGTGAAAAAATACTTGTCTGGCCTCCTTAAAAAAGAGGAACTGCTCTGCCACCAGTTTTTGCATAATTGACTATGCACTTTGTCGACGCTTGTTGGCGAATCAACTCTGGGCAAGAAGCAAAAGCAGGTCTCGTGGGTCCCCTCCTACCCACAGCCTTTGCATATTGTCAGAATCTCCCTCTCATAACTCTGACTTTAGTCAGCCTTCTGCCTCCTCTCTCCCAATGGATTACAGTGAGATTCCTCCATCAATACTCCCTTCATTTCTTTCTCGGGCTCCGAACAAGAGCGCTGCCAATCAATCGGTGGATGTAGCGTGTGCCAGGCTTGAATAAAGTAATGAGCTGCAGAGGTGCCAGACAGGAGACCTGAGCAGTAATTTAAAGAGAAAAGATCCAAGGTCCATGGGGCAGAAATGGCCAGAGGTCAGTCCAATAATTGAGATGAAAGCGAGATGTCTTTTCACGGATGGCCAAGACAGACCCTCGCAGTCTAATTTATGCGTTTAGTGTCTATTTATACTGGACATCGCAATCTCAATTCTCGAAGGATGCCGTACAGAGTCAGTTCCAGTCAGCCATTGATCGTCCAGAAGGGTGAGGGGTGATAATCAGCTACCATTGTAAAGGATGAGCGCTTCCTAAAGACGCCATCCTTCTCACGTTTCTGCCAACACCCCCAGACATCTATCACTGTGTGTGTGTGTGTGTGTGTGTGTGTGTGTGTGTGTGTGTGTGTGTGTGTGTGTGTGTGGTGTGTGTGTGTGTGGTGTGTGTGTGTGTGTGTGTGTGTGTGTGTGTGTGTGTGTGTGTGTGTGTGTGTGTGTGTGTGTGTTGTGTGTGTGTGTGTGTGTGTGTGTGTGTGTGTGTGTGTGTGTGTGTGTGTGCTCCCTCTCTATCACCCCATCTCCCCCATCAATCTCGATCACTCCACGTGTCTCATTGTGCATACAGCACCGTTTTGCAATCTCTGCAATCCAACACACGCAGGTCTTCAGTTACAGCTTTTACCGAAATGGAGACATTAAAGGCAATTAGCCATACTCATGTATTCACGCTGTTCTCGTCATTTGTTTCCCCTTCCTTTTACTGTCTTTTTTTTTAGTCCTTCAATGTCCTTTATCGTCAAATCATAAGTTAAAAAATACATGACCTATAGATCTAAGTTAAATGAAACAAACATGTGTCTGCTAAATGTTAATTATGTAAGCTTGCAGGACGTAATAATATTAAATTGGCTCCTTGTTCCTCTGGCAGTCGTCCAGTGTGCCGCATGCTGCCAGCTAATTCTATATTCTGCAGCCAGAGGCAATGCATGTGTCCTATATTCACAAGAGATATATTTGACTTTGGTATTATCTGTTATGTTTTTATATTCCGTTTATTTACCGCAACATTTTCGCAGAGAAGGCAGCATTCTCTATCTTTGTTGCAGCACTTAGACCTTTTTTATGGGAGTTTGCTCCGAGCATCCCTTTTTCTTCGGTCAAAACGCTGTCTGCATATAATGTCAGTGTTTTTTTCCCACTGATGTCAGATTGTAATCCTCTCCTCTGCAGTTTATGTTGAGAACAAATACTGCTCACGCTGGTTCCCGCTGCTTATTGCCCTTCTTCTTTCTTTCGATCTCTGAGATGTGTTCTGAAAGCAAACATGGATGCATTTAATCTCCTCCCCCCCCCAAGGGGATGTGGTCGGGGTCTAGTCATGTGCGGTCCTCGGGCTGCCTCTCATTTTCCCTGTAAAAGATATACTCAGGAATACAGCTCAATCAGACGAATAGACTCAAAATGTGCAGGAAGACACAATCTCTGCTGTCAGCCTCTGCTCATTATGACGTTACATAACAGCTGTGGAGGGCTGGGCTGCAGTGTGTGGCTGTTTGATGGAAAATGCATGCTGGAGATGAATCCCCTCGATAATTCAGTGCAGATATTGGTTATCTTAAAGGTCCCCTATTATACTGTTTTTCATCAAGATATTATAGGTCTCTTGGGACCCGAGGAAAAAAAGTGTCTTCCAATTTCCTTTTTTTTGTGATTTCCTACCTATTTAGGGTTAAAAAAAACATCTTGCAATTTAGACTTTTTTTATTTTATTTTAAAATGTTACAGTATGTCCACTGTAGAGGACGTTGGGACCATATTAGTTTGAAAAGACAGCCAAAATTAACAGATGGACTATGTAACGTATTATGGTTATAGAGTGATATTAATACAATAATACATTCACCTTTATTTAAAACATGAATAAGTAATTGATCTGAACATTACTGTTTATTTGGTCAATACAAAACTAGCTTGGTTTTTGGTGAATCTTTCCAGATCTTCAAAGACTTTGTAGTCAATGTAGAAAGTACCTCATTGACTCCAATCAGCACGGGCTGTAGGGTCATCTTGACTAGTTTTATGGATGTGGTCTCCATTTGACCATGCTCATAGAAACAAAGCTTGCATTCCTGAGACAATTCTCATTTTTCATGGCTCCACTTAAAATAAAAACAACAATAAGACATACGTGCTACTCTGGGCCCACAGAGGGCCATGTCTTTCCAGCTCGTCCCTATCTGTCTCTGTCTGTATCTGTGCGCTCATGGAGCCTCCTGCATCTTTCCCCCCTTTCTTCTTGACCCTCTTCTATCCCAGGTGTGAAAGCCTCATCTCTCTCATCATCTGAGAGCTCTAAATCTGAATCTCCCTGAACTATCTGGTGCAGAAAATATCTGCTTCAGTTCCGTCTCCTGCAACAATATTGAGTCATAAAGTCCATGAAGATGGTCCTGACGTCCACTAGGATGGACATTTATAAAAGAGCTGTTATTTCAAAACTTGAATTATTTAATTGCTTTCAGAACTAATGATAGAGTTCCTCACATGTTAATAAACAAGAACATATATGATTTTCATGGTAAAAATTACAATTATTCAACAATATTTGACTTCTCCTCCTGCTTCTATACAATGTTGTTGTTGGTATGCCAGCCATTTTGGATGAAAAGAAAGAGGAACTTCCCAGCATGCAATTTTAACCAATGACATATCACTGGAAAGACCAGGATGTCCTCTGTACAGCACACCAGGGATTGATAGAGTAGCTCAAAAGAGTAAAAGGAGATGCATGTTAACAAAATGTCCACTACAGTGGACATTTTCAATGGGCTGGGTCCCAGGAGGTTAAATACAAAACATGTCTCTGAAGTTTTTGGCTCGAAATACCAAATAGATCGTGCATTGTAGCATCCCATAACCCCCTCTGTTTCAGCCCTGTTTCAAAAGTGCTGATTCTCGTCTGTTACTTTGAAAATAAGGAGCCACACCCCTCTGAGAGATATTTGGTTTAAAAGAACACAATTCAGGTGATAAGGTGGGGGGGTTACCTTGGTTGGTGATTGGCTAATGGTTACACAAGCCAAACAATCGTTATGACATCATAAAGTGTCCAAAATCTGATCAGCTCATTTTCAGACAGGTTTTTATATAAATGGATCAGGACAAAAAGTGAGCTAATCTTTTTTCCTGAAACTTTCAGAATCTCTTTACACAGAGGGGACACATGTTTAAGTATAAAAGACATGAAAACGTGGATTTTGCATAATAGGGGACCTTTATTAATCAAATGATGATGCATGCACAGAGTATGTATTTATATCTCGCTCCTCTACTCGACTTACCTCATCATGTCACTCTTATTTCTCTTTTTTAGATTGGCACTGAGTGGGATGCCAAAGAGCGCATGTTCAGAAACTTCGGCGGCCTGATGGGCCCCATGGACGAGACGGTGGGCATGCAGAAGTGGAGCAAGGGGCCCAACGTCACCGTCACGGTCGTGTGGATCGACCCCACCAACGTCATCGCGGCCACCTATGACATCCTGATTGACGCGGGGGCAGAGTTCACTCACTACCGCCCGCCGCTCAACCTGCCCCTGCGGCCCGGCGTGTGGAGCGTCCGCATCCTGCACCACTGGAGCCCCGTGGCCGAGATGCGCTTCCTCATCGCCCCGCTGACCTACAGCAAGCACCAGCCCATACGACAAGGTGAGATTCATTCACTTCATTCCTTCCTCTGTTATGTGCAGAGATGGCAAAAGTACACACATCCTTTACTCACGTAGAAGGACAGATACTCGTGTTTAAAAATACTCTGGTAAAAGTAGAAGTAGTGACTAAACTTCTTTATTCAAGTAACAATAAAGAAGTTTGGGCTTCGAAATGTACTTTCGAAAAAGTACCCATAGCTACCATCTGTTTTATAGAGTAACTGACCTCCCTTTATATTAATTGAACAATCATGGAATTGTTAGCTAACGAATGTTTCGATGCTGAACAACGGCAAATTGATAACGTTTTCATTGGTCCCTCTAGTTTAGAGAAACCAGGAAATGATGGATACACGGATCGTGTTCAAATCAATAGGCACGCAATGACTCTAAATAATAATGATCACGCCACCAAACACACATTCAAACTAAAGGAACGAACCTGTTTTGAAAATGTAAGAAGTAAAAGTACAATGCGAATGTGAAATACTAGGATCATAATATGATTTACGATACTTAGAAATAAAGTAAAATGAACTCAAATGGGAAGGCACAGGTAATAATAATAATCCAATAACATTAAATATGAACTCACTATGAAAGAGGCTGTTCTGGAGAATATGTACTGTTACTTTTGCAGCATTTTGGCAATTACAGTTGTTTACTTTTAAGTACAATTTCAAATGAAGGACTTCTTCTTGTAATGGATCATTAGTATAGAGCAGTATTGTTACTTACACATTTTTCCCCTTCCCCCTCTTGCATTTTGAACACGTCACAAAATTAGACTTAGTGTTCAAACCAAACATTGTGAGCATTTTTGTTGTCACGTTTTTAGAGTAGAAGCCACTGCTGCTTGTAGTTGTGATAAACCCATGTAACGCTTATTTTTGCTTTGAAACACAAAAATCACCTGCTTTATCTCGATCAATAGTTCAAATACTGGATGTTAAACATGAGAAAAACAGTTTTTAGTATCTTCTTCAATTGACACTCACATAGTTTGCATTGACTGAAGTAACGATAGGCGCAGCCTTATATTTGCATTGATACCCTTTCTAATCAAGCCTCTGGGCCTCTGCAGACTCCGGTTGTTTGTCATCAAGTCACCTTTAATAACCCGGCTGCTGCTCATACACACTTAACAAGAGTGTTAAACAACAGCGCACTTAGCCGTCCAAAAACAATGAAACAATGAAATCAATCAGGCAGCGTGGATAAGGGACATCGCATTGTTTAAGTCTGTAAGCAGCTACTTTGCCCAGAAATCACATGAGAGTAGAGACGCTGGTTCGGCTTAATCGGGCCTTTCTCCGTCTAATAATCTTACTGAGCCGTTTTAATGATGGAGACAAACAACAAGTAAGAGCTTTGTCTTCGACCTGAGTCTCAGCGGGCTGTTGTGCGAAAGTATGAGTTAAATATTCATCTCTGGGTTTACGGCTGTTTAGGTTCAATCTTCTCTGGCTTCCTATTGACGTATGTGGAGACACATTTACCCTAATGCTAATTTAACGGTGTCGCTCCAAAGTTTGTTATCTTATATAGTGTTGTACCTCAGTTATCAGATGAGTAGCATCAGATACACTGTTACCGGCTCAGTTATAATTTATGCATGCTTCTTGGGTAATTTTAAGCTGCCATAGCTCTTTTCTGTAACAAATGCAAATGTGCCCTCTGTTTTGCATTTTGTTTTATCGATCATAGCTTTGCTACTGTGTTTGCAAACTTAAAGCATATGTATGTATGTTATGTAACTTTGAATTTAAATGAACAGCTGTTTTAAGCAGCAAAATCTAACTGTATTCAATTCAGTATACTAATGAACATTCCATTTGGTATGACCAGTAGCTTGTGGTGGCTTACGTTGGCATATGTTAAATAGATAGTTCTGTATAACGGAAAATATTAAGTCAGTTCTATTTCCATAAGTGCTCCCATTATGCTATGATTTAGAATTCAGTAAATATTATTACCGTAAAGACCTTATTGTCTTACAATACCAGTAATAAGAAATACCTGACATTAAGTAGGATTAAATCATTTAAAATATTTCCTAACTTTTAGCAGTAGAATAAAGTTATCTACTTTTTAATTGTATTTTGTAGACATAATATAATAATCCTGTGCATGCTTGGCTCACTGTGTGCCTTCCATCCAGCCGCCTTTAATGCACTGCCATGTCTGGCACCAGGTTTCTCTCCTACCTGCAATGCCAGTTCAACTTTATGACATGGCCTTCCACCCGCATTGGCTGAAGCACACACACACACACACACACACAAATGCACAGTGTACAGTCACACACTCTGCCACCACAAAGCTAGCTGGCATGGTATGGCCATCTCTCTGCCTGGCGGTGCACCTCATGTCTGACTGCATCTTTTCTGTCACCGGTGCATGAAAAGCGCTGCTCAGCCATGGTAAGAGAGGCTGGCTAGCGCCCCAGTTAGAGTAGCAGTGAGGAATTTACAGCCTCAGTGGAGTTTAGGGTGGAGAAAGTGTTTTAAAGGGGAAAGTGTGTCTACGTTTTTCTGTCTTCCTGCCTGTCATGGGAAGAAAGAATGAGGGCGCGTCTGACCGTTTCCACACAGTCAGCATCACAGTGGCTTGAAATACCACATGAAAGAATGAGACTTAGTTGTGAGAATCAATCCAACAAAATTAGCAGTACCAAGACACCGGTTCAGATAATACTTAAGCAACACATGTTCTTTGCTTTGATATCTTACCATTCATGTCTCCCTCTCTCCGTCTGACCACTGATGATCAACTCCTTCTCTGTTCTCTTTCTCTCTTCCTTCCCACGTCTCTCCAGAGGATACTCTGAAGCTCCACAACGGGCCCACCAAGAACAGCTACATGGAGCAGAGTTTCCACGGCCTTAACCCGGTGCTCAACATCCCGGTCAGCCTGGGCTTCGTGGAGCAGGCCAAGAGGAATGCGGCCCTGACCGGCCCCGAGCTGGAGCGCTGGTCAGACAGCCTGGTGGGCGAGATGTGGGAGGCGGCCGACGTCTGCGCCGTGGGCCCCACCGCCTGCCCCGTGATGCAGGCCTGCCCTAAGAACCCCTGGAGCTCCCTGAGCCCAGACCCCAAGTCCCACATGGGAGTGGCGCGCGAAGACGGGCGCATCAGATAGCAGCGAGGCCTCCAGCTGGACAGGAGGCCGCGGCGCAGGAGATTCATTGTTGATTTTTATTTATTTAAGGGCTTCGCTGCAGGTGGGGGAAGGAAACGTGATCTCTGTCTCTAGAGGAGAGGGAAACAAAGGAAAAAGTGGATTTTCTCGGGGGTTAGCGAGTGTGTCTGGACAGAAAGCGAAGGGAACGATTTTCAGATCCTCCCACGGGGTTCCTCCTTTTAGGGGATTATGCTGGCTTTGCTATTTCAGTTTCCTGTGTCTTTATTTTCCTTCTCATGGCTGAGTTTTACTGTGATCAAACGTTGCAATTTTCGAGCATTTATTTTTGCTGCTGAATGAATTATGAAGTCAGCTTTTAAAGCCCTGCACGGGGCACAGCGGTCATGTGACACTGGCAGCAGACGAAGCTCTGCTGCAGAAAAAGACATGCATGAGGAGGAAGCCTAGTACTGAACTAAATGTGCCTCCTTAAGTGTGTGTCAACATAAATAAAATGAGACAACATCTGAGTGTTCAGATTTACCCAAACAGTCGGAGAAGATTATTTTGATACAACTCAAATGCAGCACCATTTAAGATTATAAATGTCCCCTTTATGGAGAAATATTTTAGCATTTTCAAAGCAAACCAATTCAAAACTTTCTGATAGTTGGATGACTTCAGTTTGTAAATCAGTAGAACGGATCAGTAACAGCAGCACAACTGCTCTCAGTTCAGTGCCTGATCAGGATGTGGAACTGCTGCAGTAACATTTCGTTAAAATATGGAAAAAGAAGAATGCAAATAAAGAGGCCTTTTCAGAATAATGAAACCTATTTGGATTATAATATAAATCTAATGTTAGTTTTAGTGTTGTAAATTCATGAAAGCTTCATTTTTGTTCTTTATACAATAGCGTTTTAAGACTTCACATTCACATAGTTTCGGTTTGTTTTACTAAAAACCAAGAGGTTGTTTTTTTCACCGACATGCCTCCAACTTGAAACACTTGAGCTGACCTTAAATGATCATCCTCATCTTTTTTTACTTTCTTCCACCTTATGTTGTACAAGATTATACAAGTCTCAAAAAAAAATGTGTGAATGAGGAAGTGGGGTTGGGTGAGTCCATGAGTCGCTATTTATTTATAAGTTTATATTAATACTGATATTTTTAGTCAGTGACTAAATAACTGCGACGCTGCCTTGGCAGCATGATAATATTTTTTGTAAAGAAAGCCGCCTTTATTTACAAAGGCCCTAACCCCAAACTTGTACCTTTTTACGGCCCGCACCTGTGTGTTGTCTGTGTTGTCCTGTCTGAATAGATCTCCTTGTCTTGGTTTCGTACATGGCTGTTTGCCAAGAGAAAGACACTGACCTGCGGGGTCAGAGGTCAACTATACCTAACAACCTCACCAAGCAGCGAAGGGAAACAAACCTCACACACATTGGACAGCGTCTGAGTTGAAGGAGAAACTTTGCATTTTGGTGTTTCATGGTTCAAGTCAGTTTCAGAATGATTGTGGTGATCTTCATGCTGTGACCATAATGTACAATTTCAAGTGAATATTATATTGTATTTTATTGCAAAATGCATAAATCACTACATGACCCATCAACCCTTGTTCTGCCATTGAGACAATCTCCGGACAACAATTTATAACTCATCCTGAACAACAGGTGCGCTCAGATGTTTGTTTTTCTTTGAAATAAGTTTCATCTGGAGCCAATTAGAGTTCAATCTGTGATTGTCAACATTGTTTAGCCAGCACACGGGCTAAGTGAGTGTTTCTGCACAGGCTAATTAAGAGACATTTCTGTTCATTAATGTCAAGTTCACCTTGCCTCTCTTGTCGGATGTGTCGAATGCTATCACTCCTTCCCTCTTAACGCATTCTCGGGTTTAAGATGAAAAGGACGGTTTTAGTTTTTCACTGGTTGGCCTCTGCTGCCAGCTTTTAACTTATCATGCCTCCCTGTTCAGAACAACTACATCACACAATACATATTATTATGTAAGCTCAATGACAGTTTTGGAAAAAGGTGAATTAAATAAATGTAAGTCAATGTGGAAGTCCTATTTTGTAACAAAATGATTAAAAAATGAAGATGTACATAGGTATTTTGTATTGAAATATTGTTTTAAAAAAAAAAAGGTATTGTACATGTAAATACAGATGTGGTTAAAATGAATTATTAAGAATTTCTGAAGTGTTAATAACTGGGCACAAAGAGTAAATTGATGGCGTTTATTGATCAAAGTACATAACCTGTTTCAGTGTTTTTTGGACAGCTGTGACAACAACCTTGTCCTTTTTGCCTCTCAGAGAAAATCACATGCCAGATTGTTGTTGTTCTTGCTGGAATGTATTGTTGAGCAACTGTTGCACAAACTTCTCTGAACTGACGTTTCCCCCCCCCCGTTATCTTTTTCCGGGGAGGCTCTGTGTGCCTTAGCTGACTTTTAGTACGTTCTCTGTCCATTAAAAGAAGGAAAACCTTTTATTTTGTTATTTGTTTTTGATCTGATGTGAAGAATACCATGAGTTTGTGGAGTGGTTCACTGGTACTGCAACACCAAAAAGATGTCTGCTGTTGTATATATCATCAGGCCTTATGTCTTTATCAGTTTTTGTTTTGATTCCCTTTGGGGGATTTGTTTTGTTGTTCTTGACTGGCTTGTCTTACTTTTCTCTGACTGCTTTTTGGAAATAAAATTATATGGAAAAAAAGCTCATGTGGACTCAAATCTTGAAACCTGCTGAAGCATCTTTCCACCATTACTCTGCTGTTGTGAATATAGACCAAGTTAAATTAACCGGGTAAAATAATGCATGTAATACAGAACATGAATCTTGTCCTAAACTCCTTATATGTCTCAAAATATCCTTACACGGAGGAAAGGCTTAGCAAAATGTGATTTAAATTCCATTAAAGCAACACTACTAATCAAAGTTTTATATTAATAATTTATTTAATGACTATGTGTAATGTAAAAGGGGTCGCCTAAAGCGTCAACAACAAATCATCTTGCGACTCTGCAGTTCCCCTCAGCTCTAGGGAGTGTTTTGGGTCTTTCAGCCCATTGTGAAGGCTTAGTTTTACAGCTCTCATTGGCATTGTTTCTAGCGGTACCAAGGTTTTTTTCTTAGAGAAATAGAAAGCTATAATAAGATTACTCTAAACTCCCTGCCCTCACTGTTGCCACGTCAGGCTTTGTCTGGAAGAAGGTTAGAAAAATGTGTCGGCTGGTTGGATGGACCTATTTTGCATGAAAATAAAAAATATAATAAATAAATGTCCAATTTAATTACAAAAGATTCATTTATATGTATAGATTTTCACACACATGAAAATCTATACATATAAATGAATCTTTTGTAATTAAATTGGACATTTATTTTATTTTTTATTTTTTATTTGTACCTTTATTTAACCAGGATAGGTCTCATTGAGATTAAAAATCTCTTTTTCAAGAGAGTCCTGGCCCAAGAATGGTAACAGCACAGTTACAGACAGTTTTACAGTTACAGACAATTAAAAAAACACACACAATCACAACACAGTCATACACCAAGTTTAGCCAAAGCATTTACAGACACAGCGGCCTGCTTCAAGGTCAGTTAAAGTTGCTTTGAGTGTGAGACCAGCTCTGCGTTTCAGCTCAGTTTGAAGCAGGTTCCAAGCTTGAAGGGCAGCGTAACTGAACGCCCTTTTCCCCAGTTCAGTACGGACCTTTGGTGCAGTTAAAAGGAAAAAGTTCTCGGAGCGAAGCCAATAAGATCCAGTGCATTTTCTGTTTATTTACATCCTTAGATAAGGGGGAAGAGCACCAAGAATAGCCTTATATATAAGGATGTGCCAATGTTTCAGTCTACACGTGGTCAGAGAAGACCATCCAACACGAGTGTATAGATTGCAGTGGTGCGTCAAGGTTTTGAGGTTTGTGATGAATCTCAGTGCACCGTGGTAGACAGTGTCCAGCGAGTGAAGGCACTGAGAAGATGCATTCATATAAACCACATCTCCATAATCCAGCACAGACAGAAAGGTTGCAGACACTAGTCTCTTTTTGGCCTCATAGGAAAAACAAGACTTGTTTCTAAAGAAAAAACCTAATTGTATTCTTAATTTTTTCAAGAGTTCCACAATGTGTGGTTTAAAAGAAAGCGAATTGTCAATTATAATTCCAAGATACTTATACTGCAACACAGATTCAATCTCCGTCCCCTGCAAGGTGGTGATAGGAGGTGATGGGTTTTGCTTTCGAGAACATCATTAGCTTTGTCTTGGCAGCATTTAGAAACAAGTTTCAATTCACTCATGTTGGATTGTACAATGTTAAAAGCATTCTGGAGCTGACGAGCCTGCTTCGGGGTGGACGCAGAACAATAAATAACTGTATCATCGGCATAAAAATGCAAATTTGCATTCAAAACATTGTTATTAAGACTGTTAATGTATATTATAAATAATAATGGTCCTAAAACAGATCCCTGTGGCACACCCTTGGATACCTGAAGAGATGTTGAAGTTAAGCCTTCTGCCCGCACACACTGTGATCTGCATGATAGATAGTTCTCGAACCAACCTTACCTGAAAGACCGATAATAACAAGTCTTTGTAACAGTAAGGCATGATCCACTGTATCAAAAGCCTTTGATAAGTCAATAAAAAGTGCTGCGCAATGCTCTCTATTGTCTCAGAAGTAAATAAGATAATTTACTACTTTTGTACCAAAATCCAACCAAACTGACTCGAATTAACAATAGAAATTGGGACATGATGTCACACACACACACACACTTAAGTGGTCAACATATTCACAGAGCTATATTTTATGTATCTGTGCTTAATTTAAAAAAGGCCATTTAGGACCTACGTTAAATTACTGTTAAACTGCTTTAATAATATAATTTTGTAATTAAAGCAATGTTGTTGAACTTTAAAAGCAGTGTAGATGTCTGGCTGAGACATAATTTGAGTTTTAGTGTGAAGGAGGTTTTGTCACCCAGCCTGCTCAACAGCAGACGGCAGAAAAACGCTGTCAGCAACTATTTGATGTACATAGTGCAGCATTTAGCAGCTAAACAAACATATTTTACTAAGGAGTTAGTGAAGAGGCTAAAAGGAGAATGACTAATGGACGTTCATCTGTCAGGTGGTCAGAAACACGACTTTAATGTGTCTGATGGATATGAAAATAAACAAATGTGCGCTAACACTTTAGCATACAGCTTTACAAGGTGATAGATATTATCCATGTTTTCAGCAACATCAAACCCTGATAAATATGAATGAAATTTAAAAAAAACGACTAAACTCAATACTTGAAAATCCTTCCCTGAAGGCCGCTCCTTAAACACCTCATTTGGAAATAATTGTGCGCTTTAAACATCACTTCATGCCTTAAGTATTTCCCTCAGTCAAACTGAGGTAATTGAATCTTAAACTGTGGGTACAGCTAGTTGCTCCCATATGGTTTCCAGCAAATTAGCTTCAACAATTTTACTCGCACAGAGATTCTCACCCAACGCCCACATCATAACACGGCTCTTTAATACACGGCCACAGGGGATTTAAAATGAATGATGAATTCCTATAAACGTGACAACTTAAGTCATACTATTCACCCATAAATGCAGTTACACTTTGTTATATGTGTCTGTCTGTGTGTGTGTGTGTGTGTGTGTGTGTGTGTGAAAGTCCCAGAGACTTTCTACTATAACACATCGCTGTGGAGTGTTTGACAGGCCTTGATCAAAGGAGCAGTATAGTGGCAACAGATCCCTTTTACTGTCCCATAAGACTTGGGACAGGCGGTCTAATTAGTCCTAGCTTATTCTGCACTATGCATGTACAGTATGAGTTGCCGGGGTAAGTGACGAAGCAACAAACATTGCGTGCAGGTTCACATGCAGAGTGTGGGTGTGCCGGTGTTGGACGGATGTGAAGAGAAATGTGCGACCTTGTTCATCCGCAGCGGTAGGATGAGCAGCATTATGTTTGTGAAACACTAAAAGCTATCCTGCTGATGTTGGGAGGAAATTACTCGGATTAATGGCAGATAAACACTCGGATGATCATTTTCTGCTTTTAACTCCAGCTCAATGACACACATGCGGCTTTATTAATTAGCACCCCTGAAATGGAGAGAGGTTGTAATAACAGTGGTAATAGGCATCTCTCTCACCGCAGTACAACCCAGTCTCACGGCATTTCGTGTTCACCAACACGATTTTTTATCTATTGATTCGTGTTCACCAACACGATTTGCCCCTTTTTTTCGTGTTGCACAGCACGACTTTAAAAGCAATGTATTTCTACTGCCTGCAGCACGTCTTTTTCTCCGGTCGGGTCGTGGGAGACCGGAAGCTGTGTGGTTCATAAAAACATGTTCTTACTCAATATCAAGCCACAGTTATTGCTTTTATTTGAAATCGTATAATTTCGGACTTTTGTTGCCGTCTGTGAGGAAAATAAATGGGGCTCAGAGCCTCAGAATACGGAAATCTGTATTTTTAAATATTTTTTTCCTTCTAATTCGATATTCTTTTCAAAATAACACACTGTTATTTACTCACCAATAACACACAATTATCCTTGCTTTTATTTATTGGTTTAATTCCATAATCTCGGGCTTTTTTGGCGTCCGTCAGGAACTGAATTTCAAAATAACCGGAAACAGACGTAGGCCTATAAGGGACATTTCGAGCATCATTGCGATTGTCAACATTTCTGAGTTTAGGATGGCCGAAGACACTACACTACCCATAATCCCCAGCTATCGTTTAGGACTACAGTCCCCGTAAGGTTACGCAGAGCGTCAAACAGCTGTGTGAAATGGAACGAAACCACGCCAAACTATACAAAACTGGAATCGAACGCCCCCCCAGAACTACACATGCTGGCTATTGTGTTTCGCAAAATGTTCTATGGGACGTCTCTACTGAACGTTTTCGTTTTTCCCACAATTAGAAGTTGCCAGTATTAAACACATTGGTGTTATCAAATGTAAAACATATAATTAATAACTGGGTGAAAATCGCTTGTGTCCATAATGCGCAGCATTAATACCCACATGACAGCTCATTGTTACTTTGTAATTCTACTCCACTACAATTCAGAGGTTAACCTGGTATTTTATGGTATATTATGGCTATTTTGCACATCCCTTTCAAGATTTTCAAAGGTGTACATATCATATACACAACTACGGTGTAGTTATGCAATGAATGAAACACTTGGGTCACAGGTACCTCCACCATTAAACTGTCATATTCTGCACATTTCTTATTCTATCTACATACATAAGAGTATAATTCATATGTATAATATCAGTTAAAATAAGTGCTTCAACATAGTTAACATGGCAGGAAAGCAATATATTAGACGTTAAGTACTTTGTCAGGCTTAATATTTATCTGTAGATAGATACCCCCAAAGTTTTTTTCTTATTTAAAAGAAGACCTTAATCTGTTATTTAATGTTTAAATAAAGGTTAATTCGTTTTTCTGTTTTGCACCTCCTCCTATTAATATCTTTGTACATTCTGCACTAAACTGTTTTATTGTAGAGATCACTTATAGTATCTTCTTGATTTTTTATATTCTATATTTATACTTTCCCCCTACGAAAGTATGTACTCTTAATATTTTTTTAATCAAATAAAACACAATAATTCAATAACGTGCTTTAACCACTAGGCGGTGCACACAAGGTACACACAGCCATAAT